CGGGGGTGTGACAACAGCAACAATTTTTCCCTCATTAATTTGAGGTAGCGTGTAGTGGGTAAAAAATTCAGAAATGAATTTTCAGAATAATATTTCATATTAAACTAACTCACTTCTAAAAGATATCTAAATTATATGTATGTTTAATCATAGTATATTCAGTATATAGTTACATTAGTTCGACGGATCGTTAACCTTGTAGGTCGGTTGGTCGTGGTTGTTGTTGTCACCTCTCGTAGTTTAGTGGTCAGAACATTGGTGCGTAAAGCCAAAGGTCCCGGGTTCGATTCCCGGCGGGGGTGTGACAACAGCAACAATTTTTCCCTCATTAATTTGAGGTAGCGTGTAGTGGGTAAAAAATTCAGAAATGAATTTTCAGAATAATATTTCATATTAAACTAACTCACTTCTAAAAGATGTCTAAATTGTATATAGAAAATTCTTGGAATAAAATCGTTGTGTTAAGTTAAAATATCGACTACTTGACGTGAATATGAGCAGAGGGTTGAGAATTCATCGGGACCGCGTTGGTTAGTGAATGTTATCTGACTCAATGGGATAAAACTACACAGTCTGGTAGTTTGGAATAATAAACATCCCCATAGACGGGTTAGGAAATATCATGCGGGTTTTAGACTCGCAATTTGAAACAAATACCGCTTGTTTGTGCGCTTCGAATAATTATTATCGAAGCTGTGCAATTAAAAAGCTTTCCCGAATTAATCTCGTTGTCGCCATGCTCCAACGACCGGCGTAATGATGGTAGACAACTAACAACTACGAAGAGACGGAGGGAGGCGTCGGAAAAATGGACTTCTGCACCACTGCCACTGATAAAAAGGAATAACGATCATCTGAATGTTCCGCGAATCCAAGCGAAAAAAAAAAAACGAAGAAAATGAGAGAAGCACATCAAAGGAAAGTGTTTTCCTTTTGCTTTTTTGTTTCATTCCTTTTGCACGCAAATGAAACGAAAAAAAAAATTATCCTCAGAAGCGAAAATGTCTTCATGTTTTCCCTATTAATTAAGGATTGAGAAACAATCGAAAGCGGTCGTAAAAAATAAAATATTTGCAATGCTTCTAATTAACTTTGACAAAAAAAAACAAAAACGACTGGTTTTTTTTAACTCAATACAAGTAGAAATAGAAATACATCATCCCTTTCCAACAGAAAACAGTTTTCTAAATTAAACACCCCTATGTATAGATAACGTGTTCATCCAATACGTACAAGTAATTTGAGCCACCCAGTGTAGCCTCCCCTGTAACCAGCAGCAAGTAGAAAATCGAGTAGCGAGAGGTCAACCCCTGCCTTGTAAGATTAATCCTAAAGTGTCCTTAATGAAACGCCTATTAAACTTGTAACAGTATAGTTACGACTTCCTTATACAGTTAGGGTCAGCAGTTAATGTTCAACACTAAGTAAACAAAGTAGGCTTTGTATGAAAGAGGGTTGGTTATCCCCTTAACAGCAATCGTCGCCAGTATCTACTACTTAATCAATACAATTGCACACTGAAAACCCATAAAATTTCAAATTATGTACGGTATGGACAATTGAACTAAAAATCATTAACGAAAGCAGAATTTATTATTAACTTTGACGAAGAAACTATATAATTTATATTTCTTTTTTATTTTACTGATTTACTCGTTAGTTAAAGTGATGAAAACTACAACATCCCACATTTCTAATAACCATTTACGATCTAGTCTAATCTACACTTTCGCTCTATTTACTCCTGTTTCTTCTTCAAATATATCTCTAACTAACTTCATGCCTAACAGGTACCTCGTTTCTAACCTCTTCTGTCTACGATATTTTCATTCCTAGCCTATAATACCAAATTTCAAACGCTTCTATGCAGCTTTTTATTTTCAACTGCGTCCACCATCCGCGTTCGACATCGTACAGGGCCGTACTCGAAACAACTTTCTAAATTTCTAAATTAACCGTTTGCGAGCGTCATTATCATTCTACGAGAATTAAAATAAGATAGTACAGATAAAACAATTAATGGTTTTAAATTCGAAAATGTCTGCTATTGCCGAATGACCTGATAATAATGCAACAAAAAAATATGATCTAAAAGATCATAGCTGCGATTCCGTTTGAAATCATTCCCTTTAAAAACGTTAAAGAACCCCAATCCATTACATGGTGCAGACAGGGTAGCAGTAAATCTTACTAAAGTGAACTAGCCCTCTTCGGCTACATATAATCAGTTCCCTTTTAGGAAATAAATAAAATTTAGGGGTACGCGATGCACACAAAATGTAATATATACTTTTGATGATACTATAGAACCGATTTCACCCTCTTTTAAAAGGGAAACCACTCGAAATAAAAGAATTGCATTACAATCTCTTATTATCAAATTTCTAACTTCACAACACCCCATACAGGATTCTTTTTATGTCACAAAGGTATCGATAGGGAAAAAAGGCTGAATTTTTTATGCTTATGAAAATATTCATGTTACCTTTAACCCCTAAAACGCGACAGTAATTTTGTTTATTTAATTACAATATGTCCCTCAAGGCGTTCGTTCCTTTTTTGTGTACCTTCTCTTCTACTTTTTTTTTGTGATTTACAGAACAGCCTTTATATGTAAGTAAAAGTATTAAAACTTGAATTGGATAAATTTAAAAGGTCAATAACAGTGTTATCCCGAAAAAGATTCATCACACATCAAGTTTCTAAACGAATAAGACAGAGTTTAATGATAAAGTCTATTCATCCATCAGCTTCCGTTTGGAGATTTGTCCCCAATGGCGCGCTGACCTTTACCTAAATTTACGGGCCCTTTAAGGATGCTTATTTTGCTATAAATGAACCGGTATTGTGATGCAGACAGTGGATAAGGGGAACACCCTTAAGTGAAAACTGAATTCGTGAAATGGAGACCCCACGTACAAGCCAACATTACTCACGGACCCTTTTTGCCTCGGCCGAAGGCACGAAATAGGGAGAAAATTGCCAATTCATGAGAACCTCTTGATGGACCACTTACGTCACTGACGCCTACGTCCAATGAACAATAAAACCGGCGTGAAATTAGCAACGGAGAATTTAATACACAAAAAGACACCAGCAATAAGAAAGACATAAGAATTTACTGTTAGGAACCGAAATATAAACGTAAAGACTTGCCAAACACCACAAATATTACTGTTAGTGACAAATACATTATGTAGATGGCGGCACACTGTCACTCACTTGACACTAACATATTTTCAACACTTTTCTGATATTAACTCAACAGCAACAATTTTTTTTTTCATTAATTTGAGGTAGAGTGTAGTGGATAAAAAATTCAGGAATGAATTTTCAGAATAATATTTCATATTAAACTAACTCACTTCTAAAAGATGTCTAAATTGTATATAGAAAATTCTTGGAATAAAATCGTTGTGTTAAGTTAAAATATCGACTACTTGACGTGAATATGAGCAGAGGGTTGAGAATTCATCGGGACCGCGTTGGTTAGTGAATGTTATCTGACTCAATGGGATAAAACTACACAGTCTGGTAGTTTGGAATAATAAACATCCCCATAGACGGGTTAGGAAATATCATGCGGGTTTTAGACTCGCAATTTGAAACAAATACCGCTTGTTTGTGCGCTTCGAATAATTATTATCGAAGCTGTGCAATTAAAAAGCTTTCCCGAATTAATCTCGTTGTCGCCATGCTCCAACGACCGGCGTAATGATGGTAGACAACTAACAACTACGAAGAGACGGAGGGAGGCGTCGGAAAAATGGACTTCTGCACCACTGCCACTGATAAAAAGGAATAACGATCATCTGAATGTTCCGCGAATCCAAGCGAAAAAAAAAAAACGAAGAAAATGAGAGAAGCACATCAAAGGAAAGTGTTTTCCTTTTGCTTTTTTGTTTCATTCCTTTTGCACGCAAATGAAACGAAAAAAAAAATTATNTCTAACTAACTTCATGCCTAACAGGTACCTCGTTTCTAACCTCTTCTGTCTACGATATTTTCATTCCTAGCCTATAATACCAAATTTCAAACGCTTCTATGCAGCTTTTTATTTTCAACTGCGTCCACCATCCGCGTTCGACATCGTACAGGGCCGTACTCGAAACAACTTTCTAAATTTCTAAATTAACCGTTTGCGAGCGTCATTATCATTCTACGAGAATTAAAATAAGATAGTACAGATAAAACAATTAATGGTTTTAAATTCGAAAATGTCTGCTATTGCCGAATGACCTGATAATAATGCAACAAAAAAATATGATCTAAAAGATCATAGCTGCGATTCCGTTTGAAATCATTCCCTTTAAAAACGTTAAAGAACCCCAATCCATTACATGGTGCAGACAGGGTAGCAGTAAATCTTACTAAAGTGAACTAGCCCTCTTCGGCTACATATAATCAGTTCCCTTTTAGGAAATAAATAAAATTTAGGGGTACGCGATGCACACAAAATGTAATATATACTTTTGATGATACTATAGAACCGATTTCACCCTCTTTTAAAAGGGAAACCACTCGAAATAAAAGAATTGCATTACAATCTCTTATTATCAAATTTCTAACTTCACAACACCCCATACAGGATTCTTTTTATGTCACAAAGGTATCGATAGGGAAAAAAGGCTGAATTTTTTATGCTTATGAAAATATTCATGTTACCTTTAACCCCTAAAACGCGACAGTAATTTTGTTTATTTAATTACAATATGTCCCTCAAGGCGTTCGTTCCTTTTTTGTGTACCTTCTCTTCTACTTTTTTTTTGTGATTTACAGAACAGCCTTTATATGTAAGTAAAAGTATTAAAACTTGAATTGGATAAATTTAAAAGGTCAATAACAGTGTTATCCCGAAAAAGATTCATCACACATCAAGTTTCTAAACGAATAAGACAGAGTTTAATGATAAAGTCTATTCATCCATCAGCTTCCGTTTGGAGATTTGTCCCCAATGGCGCGCTGACCTTTACCTAAATTTACGGGCCCTTTAAGGATGCTTATTTTGCTATAAATGAACCGGTATTGTGATGCAGACAGTGGATAAGGGGAACACCCTTAAGTGAAAACTGAATTCGTGAAATGGAGACCCCACGTACAAGCCAACATTACTCACGGACCCTTTTTGCCTCGGCCGAAGGCACGAAATAGGGAGAAAATTGCCAATTCATGAGAACCTCTTGATGGACCACTTACGTCACTGACGCCTACGTCCAATGAACAATAAAACCGGCGTGAAATTAGCAACGGAGAATTTAATACACAAAAAGACACCAGCAATAAGAAAGACATAAGAATTTACTGTTAGGAACCGAAATATAAACGTAAAGACTTGCCAAACACCACAAATATTACTGTTAGTGACAAATACATTATGTAGATGGCGGCACACTGTCACTCACTTGACACTAACATATTTTCAACACTTTTCTGATATTAACTGATTCCTGATATTTAAACTAGAGCCTATCTAAATTCTACTATTTAGTGTAATATCTAAAAACAATGACCCTATACAATTACAATAGGTAATAGAAAATTAACAATCAACATACATAGCTAAGGCCTCTATGTTACCAACGATCTTATCCAGAAACAAAAGAACTGCTATATTATAAAAATATTATTGAGACGATAAACCGCGTGTATCTAAAATCTTTAGTATATTGACATACAATGGTCTAAAATTCAACCTGTATGATTTTTAAGTATTTGAAGCACTTTCTGTTAATTTAGAGGACCCAGAAAAGTATATATGATAGAATATTTAGACCATTACGACTATAACTTCCCCCTCCAAAAGCTTTTGTCTTAGCAGTAATTGAAACTACCGAGGTGACAAAAAGCTAGGCACCATTATCGATCAGTGTCGCCCAAGATTACAGCATTAGAAGCAATGAAGACACTCATTCTTTCAACGAATATTACTTCTTAATCTCGTCCCTTCACAAGCTTGAAGGGACGCCGGGTTTTAGCAATCCCGAAATGAGAAATGTCGATAATCGATAAATTTGCCAAAAATATTACCAGAGCTAACAAAAAATTGACAATATGAAGTTAAAAATAATATTTATGTAAAACTGCGTCGAAAATAAAACCTCATGTACTTATGTCACGTATTCACTCAAAATAATGTTCATAAATGGAGGATGTGCTAACAGAAAAAACACAATATAAAATGTAATATCCTTTAAGGAACATCCCAGCAGCGACGATATGTGTGTATAACAAACTATTTTTATCTAGACGAAGTAAGGAATAAAAAAAACAATTCATGTTTTTACAAACAACATTCTCTATGTTATGAAATTCAGAATAAACAATTCCATCAATATTTGAGTTCCAAATCAATAAAGAAAAGAATATCTTTGTCTTAGTTATCCTTTTTATAGTAAAATTATAATAATGGGTACTTTTCCAGTCGTTTCGCTCCATTAATGTAAATTTGAAATATAATTGTATCATATTTTTATGAAAATAATGGAATTCATTTGTTAGGTCCTTTTTAAGTAACATAATAAGAACTCAGAAATAGAAAACTATATAGAAACATATAAAATGTACTCACCAAGTTCAGCAAAGAATATGTCACCCAACGCCAAAAATTCTTCTTCGGGAGAAATATGTGGTTCTCCAAAACAATCATTTTCTGGCCAAACTTCCCTGAAAAAATAAAAAAATCGGTTGTCTGTAAAGTCGGTTTACTGACGATAGTTGAACGTGACAACGTCATAAGAAAATACTGATGGAATGGTTTCATTTTTCAAAAGAAAATTTTAATTTTATTTGTTTGATAGATATTTTGTATGGATATAGAGAAGGAGGTAAATGGAAATGTATTATTGTATAGCAGCTGTCCACGTGGACGCATCTCTCACTCAAGTAGGAGAGAGACAGATGCCGAACGCTGCCGAACGCGGAGGCCAATTGTGCCTCTTTGTCGCTCGTTCCGCGCTCTCGCTTGCACTTCAAGCCTTAAATGGAACGCCTCAGAGCGAGGTAACGCCGCATGAGTCATGTTTTTTCGTGCGTGCAGCTCCATCGAATTATAAGACGTTGTCACGTCAAAAAAAGTGTTTAAATGTATATTGCATTGTTGGATTAGCTGTGCATATGTACGTATAATTCGAACTAAACGGCCAGACTATATTCCAATTCTTTCACAATTGAGAAGCTAAAAGCAAACGAAGTAGAAAATAAATAACATCAGGGGTTATAAAAGCCGAAGCAATTGTCCCAATTAATTAGAAGATTTAAGAACCAGCATCGATTGACGCAAAAAAGTCCTTTCGAGAAAATCGCATTCATTTGTTACATTTTATCTATCAAATTAGTGGTAGAATTATTGGGAAAATGTCACAAACACTTTACTGAGAAAATAGCAGACTACGGAGAATATTCTAAAAGCTTTCTAATTAAGTGTGAATGATATTCATATATACCTACACCGAAAATTAGCCACCACTATACCTATACAACAACAATAAATATCATACTTATTCAGCAGAATATTCCATGAACAATAACTCTTTCAAAAAATTCAACTAAAATCTAAATTAAAAACCTTCTGAATAAATTTTATCCTAACAATGTTGCACTGAATCGGTGATTTAGCAAATTTACTTTGACAAAACTTTCAATGTGACACGTTCAAGAATAGCTTTCTATTCCGCTCATTGCCGCAGTTGCCGGGAGTCAAACAGTTTTCCTATTTCGCATAAACGCCTTCGCAACTATTCAATTTCCCCGGAGTGTTGAACATGGCTCCCACTCAATAGTTTGTCGAACAAGAGATGCATCATACTACTTTAGATCCAAACTAATCAAAAGACATCAGTAAAAGTACATAACTACCTTCCCAACACTGTTTGAAATACATTTATCGCAAGTCCCGAATGAAATAAATCAGATTCTAGCTCGTTCTCGGGGTGAGTACCAAGTGAGTATGCATACCTAAGGCGAGCAACAACCGAGTCCTAAAAAGAATCCGTCCGTTTCCTTTAAAAGCAGCGACATTTTAAAAAAGACATTGCTTTAGAAATTTCATTAAACCATACACACTTAACCGAATGTATTAGATCTAGTTTCATATTCATTCCACAAACTAATTACATGTAGAAAACGCCCCGCCGTATTTGTCATATAAAGTTACAACAATTAAGAAGGAAACTTGTTCGCTTATCCCTGTGGTTGCAGCCGTCGTCCCGCTGGCTGCTTGGTTTTGAAGAAGAGTTTTCGGAAAGTCGTGAATAAATGCTTCTGCTACGTGTTAGTAGAAGTAATGTTCTACAAACACGAACGCCTTCGAGTTGCATCTACTAACGTAAGTTGTTTTGATTTAACACAGCGTCTGATCTTACGTTCCAAACTTAGGTAGCTAACATCGCAGCAGTCGCCGATTTATTTTATTGTCTATCTGGGGTTAAGTAGCAACTTCTAATGTACTCATGGAATAGTTAATGATCCCAAGTTCGGTTCCGGATAAACTTTGCCACAACAGAACACAACAGTTTGTTCCACTTATTTATATTTTAGTTGCGGCGAGTTGTACTAGCCTTATAGCTAGTTCAAGTTGTGAAGTACATTTTTAATGAGAAACAAAGTTTTACTTACAAACTTAAGTTACTCGTCTTCGTTCTTCTGGAAAGAGGGAGGCGTGATTAGTTAGGGGAAACTTTTACGAAAACTATCTATCTTGTGCAGCTGAAGATGTAGACATGTAAAAGGATAATTGTCGTATTTGAATTAATATCAATTATGTTTAAAAGTCGGACCAAACAGTATATTCCATTACAAAAATAATTTAAAACAATTAAATCAAGCAGCAATTTCTCAGTACGTACTCGCCAACATCTCGCCTTCAGCTCGCATGTACTCACTGTTACTTGTCTTAAAAACATGCGTATTCTTACAAAGTAGCTAGTTTCTTTCTTTTATTTGTATTCTAGTTAAATCAGGTAGACATTTTTAGAACTCGCCGATAATTGTCCTATTTAAATTGGTATCAATTATGTTCAAAACTTGGACTAAACATTAGTATTAACCATTATAAAAATATTTTAAAACAATTAAATAGTGCAGCACGTTCTCTGTACATACTCGCCAACAGCTCGCCTTCACCTCACACGTACTCACTATTACTTGTTCTAAAAACATGCTATTTCTTGCAAGTTAGCAAGTATCTTTCGATTATTTGTAGTTCATTGAAATCAAGCATTTTTAGAACTCGCCGATAACTCGCGCTGTGCTCGTATTAGCTCGCCGCTCGTCACAGCATAAAAATTGATTTCGCATCAGATACTTTTCTCGAATTACTGCCGCTCATTTACTTTTATTCTTTGCGTTTTGTGCAATTTATCGTATTAAACAAAATTTCGTTTAACGTTTAAACAGATTACCAGATGCCAGTTTAAAATGGAAGACCTTCTAAAATTCGTTCCGCTCGTTTTATGCACGAACAAGCCGATTCTAAAAATCCGTAGAGCCAAATCATTATCTACATCGACTGGCACATTCTCACAAAAAAAAGCCTTCGGAGCGATAATGTCAGCATTCAAATTCAATCTCAAAATAGCAGAAGAGCGACTATCGACTAAAAAAATATGTTGCTAAGCCTTTCAACTGAGTGAAAATTCCTACCAACCCATTTTGTAGAATAGAACATGTATATATATATATTGTACAAATACGACGAGTGAATTGTTTGACCGAAAAAAAAATACTAAATAAAAATCCCCTTAATATAGACAATGTACTAGGAACAAAAGTATCAAATAATTTTTACATAACATAAACAAATTCTATGAACCAATAACTAACAATAAGTACAAAATATTTCGAGAAAATTTTACGAAAATGTTAACATTAGTTTAATAGCAAACAACTCATTTATATTTAAGATGAATTTTTATCTTTTTATAGATACCAATTTTAAGTTTTCTCTGCCTTCTCAACATAAATAAGCTATGCTAAGAAATAAAGTGGGAATATTAAACAAATTTAAATTAAACCGCGTGTTTGGTGGTGCAAAAGGGGCACCGAAACAAGCAAACCAATTAAGCGCAGATTGCATAAGGCTGTGCACTACAGATTTATGTTCTCGTTCACATTTGCTGGCGATTTATCTGAATTTAAAAAGTTGCTCCGGAACAAAGGAAATAAAGACTTAGTGAAGAGGAGTAAAATTGCTTATAGTCCTTTATTTCTGGCGTAAAACTGTATTGCGAAAAGTTTCACCTTTAACGACTTCTACTTTTGAACAAAATAAATTAACGAACGCGCCCGCACCACCCCTAACACATGCTACGCGAAGATCACGAACGTTGAGCTGTCGGTTCAAGATGCGACAGTAGCGCCCTTTTTTTCCACCTGATCTTATTGAATTTGTGAGACCTTAGAATTAGAAGCCTTCTTTCTCCACTATTAACCAACAAGAAAACTATCCAGTAGGTGAACTAACTGATAAATAAGTACTGTCTTGAATTGGATTTAAAGACAGTTGTCGGTTTGAGTTGCTTCCTAACGTTTCTCTAGCACGAATAACGAACTTCTTCAGATATCTACATCCAGCATCGGAGATGGAAGGACGTCTGAAAAAGTCCTCCACTCGTGCTAAACATTAGAAAGCAACTACAACAGACGACAACCTTAATATCCTAATCGACACAGCATCAATTCACCATGCAAAACATTCCGTAAATCCTACACTAATGAATATTACTAGTATCCGACCGAAACTAGTTTTTACGACCGAAACCGAAACCGAATTTCGGCAACGGTCTCAGTTTCGGCCGAAACCGAAACCGAAACTTCCTTATAAGGATCATGTTTTGAGAGAAAAATAAAGAACGCTTTTTTTTTATTATATAAAATTACTTTTGTTATTGTCACCTAATATTACAATAGGTATAGGAACTTAATATTTAAGTAATAAACAAAACAAAATAAATCACTTTTATCTTAATTAAGAACAAATTAACTTCTTCTAAACATAATTCGTCATGTTGAATGACACTAAACTTCAACAGAAACAAAAGGTAAACGACTAATTTAACGCGCCGAACGTGACCGAGCAGAGCGCGAGAACTCCCGAACGCAGTTTCGGTTTCGGTCGTAGTTTCGGCAGGTTTGCCGCCGAAACCGAAACTAAACCGAAACTGGTTTTTTTTTTCGAAACTCGACCGAAACCGAAACCGAACTTTCGGTCGGACACTAAATATTACACTAGCAAAAGCGATATTTATAGTACTAAAAACCAAAAGAACCATAACAAACGTAATTATAAACAACAGCGGTTCATGGATACGATAAAAGATTGTGTACAGAGTTTTATGTGACCTTATTCAAAACAATATTATCTCTTATAAGCTGTGTCTTCCCATAAACAGTTCCTGGATTATTACTATTAATAAATTGGAAAAAAGAGAGTGAAATTTGAAACAAAAAAGCAATAAAAAAATGCTCTTATTACACAACATTATCAAGCAATTTTCTTTTCCATTTTATCCATATACTCCCATATATATATAGCAAAAATTCCCTCTCAAAAAAGGAACAAATATTGCTTACACCGCTATGATAAACTAATTAGGTAGGTTTTTACATCAACATGAAAAAAATTAATCTTACCTCGCTGCTCGAAATAACGCTATAGCCATCTCGAAGTTGCCCTTCCTGAGCTCCAACTGTATTTTTTTCATAGCATCTTCCCTGAAAAGATAAAATATATGTATAGGCAAGGTAAGGTACGCTAAACAAAAGCTTTAAACCACAAGCAGATTTCATGTTTTATGAAGTACTACAGTTAACAATAAATACCTGCAGGTAAATATACATAGACGTACTTGAAATTATTTTTAAATGTTTCCATGCGAAACGGATCTCCAACATTATGGTAATAATAATAATAAACAGTAACAATTTATCAAAGGGCAAAAGCGGAATGGTTGACGCAGAATAGAGGGTTATTCGTTTAAATCCCTTGCAGCGAACTTCAAATTTCATTATTGTCGGGAATCAGTTGTTGCGGCTTGTTTGGCGCTTATCTTTCGCGGTTGAATATTCATATTTCAGAGGCGGAATCTAGAAGGCTTTGTCCGGCTTAAAAGCTATCGAGCGGATGCCTAAGCACCAAATGAACAAGTTAATTATTCATTTGTCGATTTTCCTATGTAATTCAATTTAACCGCGTAATGCATAATCATCCCGAATTTCACATTACTTACTAGGACGGACGAGATACCATTTCTTACTTATTTGCAAACGAACCGAAATAACAAATAAATTGACCTCATATTGTTTCGCATTTTGCAGTCCTGTTCAATTTCCTGCCTGATACATGTAAACGATATAATTTATAACTAATTTAAGTAGCAGTTAAGTCCGTCGATCTACTTACATTCAACAATTTATGTATAAATATGCAATCAGCTATACACTCCAATACAAACATTTAAACCCGTCCACTTTTTTCCAATTGCTTAACAGCAACTCGAAAATGTACATACCATACACAGAGCTAGTTCCAAAAAATGAGAAAAGATAGCCGCAAACATTATAATTGTCATAGATAATAATTTTTAATATGATGATACAGTCCGTTCACTTAGAGAAAGGTACACGTTGGAGATCCGATGTGCGCGAACTGTCTTAATAATACAAGTTATTTACGTCGACATTCATCGGAACTCACCTACGATCGATGTTCGTTGGTGCACATCGCCCACGCTGTACCTTTCTCTAAGTGAACTGACAATACAATCCGACTACAACCAATAAACAAATAGAGACGTGTGTAATTATACTAGACTTGTATTTTTTCCTTTCGAGATACTGAAATCTAAAAGCCGAGGGGATGGAGATATACAAACAACTTTTTTAATTAAAAGTACAGGTCCCTGTAGACATACACAGTACGATCAAGGACTTTATATGTTAATTTGTTGAATACGTTACATACTAACAACAGGAGTTTCATTCGAAAATTCATCGACTGGAAGAAACTCATTGAGATGGATTTTCCTTTCTCTTCGTTCTTTTTTTCGGAGTCTCACGAAATAAAGTTAGTTATTATTAATATTTAATTAGTCTAAACCTCTAGACAGTACAGTATACTTCATTAAAAAGCTCAGTTTTAGCTTTTGTTTCTCTATTTAAGGATAAATATTGATACGGTTGACAACTGTCCGACAAAAAATTGTTTACAGTATTCCTATTTGTTTTCATTTTAAGATGAGACATGTTTTTTGCTTGTTTGTCAATATTTAGGTACGTCATACTGAGTTTTTGTTACTTGGACTTGACATAGGTAAACTTTCGTATTTTGGAATAAAAAAATATGTGACACATGAACGGACTGATCGTAAACAGAACGCTGATGATAAAAAGATCGTAAAAATCTACTTAAAGAATTTCCACGTCAGTCATAATAGACGTTAGAAAAGGATTTCGCAGTGCCCAGAATAAGATTTAAAGAAATCAAAAAAGTTTTGTGGGCCTGACACGTTATAAAATAATCTTTTATTTCGTTTGAATAAAAGCCTTCGATTCAGGGAAACGGCTTTAAAAATTACCTTTTTAGATCTTTTCTTACTTCTTTTATTATGGATTTGAAAAATATGTTCTGTAGCCTATTGGGATCCGTCAAATGGGAGGAGCCTAAATACATGGCGCCGATTAGGGAAAATTTATCGTAGTTCCTATAGTGTACCGTGCAATTTCCAAGTTTTTAAATTACGATAAAATGATAAGTATTGACACAATATGTGATTGGGCTGACACAAAGCCTCGGAAAGGAAATTTCGTTGAAGGTGAGCGTGTTTTTAATGCCAATCACATTATAAAATTCGGAAATAACAAATCTGGAAGCTAGTCTTCAAATTCCGTCAAGTTTACTGTCTATTTTTTACAAACTTCGGATTTAAAAAGTGATTCACGTTATATAATTGGTGAGGTGATTCTGGGTGATTTAAGCAATGTCTTATCAATGACTTGCATGTGCAAAGCCGATTTAAGAGAACGTTGCAAACACAATATTGCAACTTTGTTGTATTGCAGCAGGTAGGTTCTTAACCACAAAATACCTAGATCGTATCATTAGAATTGCGTTAAATCAATTACACAGGATTAAATAATTTCTCACTTTATAATTTTAGTATGATTCTAGTTTTAAATATTAAGGTTATGGCTGATGCTAGATACTTGCTAAAATATAATCATGTGCATTAAAATGACGTGAACAAATTTTTATTCCGGAATTCACTTCTTTGATACCTACTGCTTTCATCCAAGCTTCTATTAGTTTACTTCTTTCTCTAATTTTCCGAATATATTTTTTACATATATAAAACGGTTAGTTTTTATTGGAAAGTAGTTAATGTAGGTATAGAGTGAAGATCTATGTCTGAAGTGCTACTGCAGCTTTTCACTGAACATATTAACTTTTTATTTGATTTAACTTTAGAAGAAAACTTCGTCGACTCCATCATCAAAAAAATTTTTACTTTTTTAACGTGTTTTATTATTTTAATAAGCAATTTAACAATTTGCGTGCACAGTTCCTATGTAAATATTTCCCTCATTTGAGTTATAAATTTTGCCACCAGATGGTGTATGCCCATTTGACGGATCCCAATATTTGTGACCGTTATATCGGCACCGCAAAATAGACCTTACATTATGTGAATAACAAAACCTAAATTAACGCAAATTATTTACATTTAAGAAAGAAAAAAGCAGAAAATATAATTTTTAGAACTATTGGTGCCTAGAATATAGGTAAAAGTAAATTGGATGAAAATACGTTGACATCAAGTCCAGGGATGCATAAAGAATGTGAGGTTGAAAATGACTAAGAAAAAATGCACTTTCATGGTCATAGTCTAGATAAAAAAGAAAACATTAGAAACTTATGAATCGAAAAAGTTTGCTTCCAAGTTTGGCATTATGAAAGCACATTCCACATCATAAATTTCAGTAACATCGTCGGGATGTCTTCATGCCGACAGTGAAATTTTCAAATATCATGGTTCGTTTGTCGAAGAAAACGTAGCAGTTAGTTTCGGTATTCCGAAGAAAATTTTCGGAGAACCCTAACAAATTTTACTTAATTAAGGACAACTCTAAGTCTCAGCCTTCGACATCGGCAACAGTCCTTCTTTATTTCACTTTTACTGTTCTAAATGTAAATGAAATAGCTCTCCGTAAAGTTTACTGCCACTGTACCGTGAGGGCCTCCGCAGCGGCGTGTCAGCCGTGCCAACATCCCCGGCCTGACATTTCCTATACAGCAGCAGATATCGAAAAGGGGTCACCAGATAGAAGTCCCTTTCGAAGTTGATTAAAATCGATTGTCTACCGTTCTGATTTGCTTTTCAATTTTCGTTCGACATAAATAATGACAATCAATGATCTCAAACTTAATTAAATTTTCGATAGTCCCCTTTTCGAAAACAATATATGAAAAAGAACTGATTTTTTTTTGTTCATAGTGTAGCGACCGCGAGCGTGATTGTGTGCGATCGGGCATACGTGTGTGTGAGCGGTTTATCGATTCGCCGACTAGCCGCGGGCGCTTTTCTTCATGTGCGCCGTATCTGTAAACGTGTGTGTCGTACCTGCGTTCCGAGAAAGCAATTAAACCGTTCAAAGAAAACGAGACTTCTCTGGACGGCTGGAGAACGTTCCCGAAAGGAGGCAAGAGAGTATAAAAAGGAAGAGACGATCGCCGAAGTAGAGTAGAAATAAATTGACCGTTGCAGAGGTGAATCAAGAGATAAATTGAAAGTGATAGAAGTGAAATAAATAGAACAGTAGTGTAAATAAATAGCCTAATTACCTAAGTTTAGTAATAAGTTAATAGTGTTTTTAAGTTCTTCAATAATAATTAGTGTAAATAAATAGTTTTCTTCTTAAAAGTTAATTTTTTAAACCCACGAACATTACAATACTCTTACCTGTGCACCTAAATTAAAGAAAATTACAAAACCTATTAGTATAAGTACCTGTAAATTTTAATTACGCTCTACTATGAACTATTGCAGCGATGAAGGCTCAGTGTAAAGAGACCCGCTCACACTGTATGAACGGGTTGAAAGGGCATTGTCTACGGTCACGTAGGTCGCTCAAAACTCACTCCTTTAACCCCTCTATCGACTGAACATTAATGAAGTGTCAAAGAAGTGTTTTTTCAAAGCGGACAATACTAAAGAGATAAGAAGTTCCGTTATTTGCTACCTACGCTATTTGCAGTTTAAAACTAAATAACCTAAAGCATTTTGTAACTGTAAAAAATAAAACACGTACTTTTGTTCGTCGATGGGCGTATCAGATGAAGCATCGAAAGGCACAATATCGGAAGGTATTTGCGACGGGTTTTCCAAAACAGCGGATAATTGAGAAGAAACTTCTTCCCAAAGACTCTCTAAATTCTTTTCGGGACGGACCGCCGCTGGTGCTGCAGCTCCTGAAAAGATGGACCATAAAATTTATCACTGTTCCAAAGCCTCTTAAATTGCCTCAAACATAATAATAATTCGTTACGGAATTAAGGTTTGTGAAAGGAAATAAATTCACTCTTATTTCAAACAATGTCGTGCTACGGTATAAAATACATAGGTAGTACCCATATTACAGATTATATGGATTAAGTAAAATAGTAAATAGACTTAATCGGACTTATATACTAAAATAATGTTCTGTACGAGCAGTACGCCTTAAACATTCTAGGTGAGTAATAGGTGAGTACTCATGATACAACGGCGAGTTGCTACCGAGTCATTACGACTATCATCATCTATCTAACAGTTAAGACATAAAATGACTTCAAAGACATATTGCTTCCACCTACAGAAAGCTTTCATTTTGAGTATTCTTACATTCGGTTCTAATTAGTTAATTAAAAATAAACGTAGTTTAAATGTGTGCGCACGACCAGTACAATTCAAATGTTTCAAACAAATTTCTCTTTGTGTCATTAAATACACAAAAGTAAGATAAGGTTTATTTTTGAAGGATCGGGGAAGGTTCCCTTTATTACGCAAATAATGAGTGTTTAAGGGATCGAGCAAGCTGAGGAAACACCATTTAATATTTTACAGACGACAACGCCATGTCATTAGCATTTTTAGAGAAAACCCTTAATCGTTCTTTCAACTCCCGCGGAAAACACATTTAATTATAAAGTTTGTCTTTGGCCTGCGCTGAGAATTCAGACGGTTAACGGCATAACAACGGGAAAATCGGCTTTTGAAAGCACAGTGGTTTCAAACACTAAACACCGCTCATAATAGTCGCAATGAAAACCAACCGAATCTCTTAAGACATGTTAAAATGATTACAGTAAGATGAACAAAAATCGAGTATGCGGCGAGTCACGCAACAAAAAATTATGCAGAAGGTTATCAAGACCTTTAAAATGTATATAGCCAGATGAACAAAAATTGAGTATGCGGCGAGTCACACAACACAAAATTACGCAGAAAGTTATTAAGACCTTTAACATGTATATAGCCTGATAAACAAAAATCGAGTATGCGGCGAGTCACACAACAAAAAATTACGCAGATAGTTACTAAGACCTTTAAAATGTATATAGCCAGATGAACAAAAATCGAGTATGCGTCGAGTCACACAACAAAAAATTATGCAGAAGGTTATTAAGACCTTTAAAATGTATATAGCCAGATGAACAAAAATCGAGTATGCGTCGAGTCACACTGCAGAAGGTTATTAAGACCTTTAAAATGTATATAGCCAGATGAACAAAAATCGAGTATGCGGCGAGTCACACAACAAAAAATTATGCAGAAGGTCGTCTTATCGACAAAATTATGCTCAATCGCCCTTAAATAATAAAATCAGACTAAAAATATAACTCCCATACTTCTAGTCATCTCTGTAAACTCGACAAACAGGAGGATCACGACGAGAACAAACCGAGTAACTTTTGAGCAACTTACATAGAAGACTCGCCTTCTGCTCGTCTAATAGTGTATTTAATACTTTAAACTTCAGTTAACTGATTCATTGTTTTACACCAGTCTAACTGTAACAAACAACCCTATTATATTTCATGAGTACTATGCAGACTTGGCGTTCGCATTGTATTTTATTTAATTTGCAATCCGAGACGCAGTGTTGCGTTCCTCGGTAGAAATTGTATTTTACATCCGCCCGGAGGAGATACCAAGCACTTTACCACGAACTCATTCTATTTTCTTCACTCCGGTTGCCTTTAATTTCGTAATGAATTATTTAGAATGGAGAAGTTGAAGAACTGGCGACACTTGGAGCTACTTTTACACTCTCCAGCATTCGAAACTACTTTAAAAATAACCATATTACTTACTTACATAAGTACAGATACCTTCATAACACTTTCACCTTATTTTTAATAACGAACTTACTTATAATAGTTAAGGTACGACAAGTTTTAATTTTCTTACCTGTAAGAGGTGCAGACTTCTTCTTGTTCTTTTTCGCCGGCTTCTTCTTATTATTATTTTTCTTTTGTACAATCAAGTTGTCCTGTTTGCTAGAGAAGGATTGCAGCATTTTCAAAAAAATATGTTGCGTTTCGATGAGGTCGTTCAGATAACCATGTGACATTTTCAGTTCGTCGTAAGATATGAGAAGAGTCAGTATGAGTTCCCTATATTCAACTACGTAGAAGAGATTACTCTTAAGCACCATAGAGGAGTCCCTTATGGAACCGTCTGGGGACCTATCCATGGCCATTAATGTTAAAAGTAGTTCTTTGTAAGCCATCAAGGCTAAGTGCAACCTTCGCGACCACAACTGAAGTTTCGCTTTATCCGTCACCATCATGTCAAAATGTTTCTCAATTTGCTGTTGAATAAAATGGAATGTCTGAATCGACACAGTCTCGCTGGAACAAAAGAAAAATAATAATAAATTGGGAAAACAAATGAAGAAGAAAATACATTATTATGCGGTAAGTAGAGTCCTTCAACTTAGAGAAAGGTACACGATGCCAAATTGAAACATCTGAAAGTAGACGGCCGTTCATATTCCGGGGACCCGCCTACGACCAATATTCGTTTGTGCGCATCGCCCACGCTGTACCTTTCTCTAACTGAACGGACAATTCCTACATTAAGGAAAAAAAGACTTAAAATTTTCAATTAAATAATAAAAGTAAGACTGACACTGGTGAGTATGAAATCAACACGATATGATTGACATAGCAAGTGATGTAACTCAATACAATAAAAACCATAAAATGAGGTAATATGGCGTGGTGAAAAAGACAAAAGACTTACAATAAAAGATAATGGACCATGGACGTATCAAAAAAAAAAAAGAAAATAAATAAAATCAAGCGAACCGGCAAAAACAATACAAGCAGAAATAAATCATTGGAAACAAATCGGTTCTCAAAACGAACAGGAAATACAGAAAGGCAATTTTATTTTCTGAGCCGAAAACGAGATTTTAACGATAAGGAAATAGTGGGCAAACAAAAGAAAATCTGACGATTCTTACAGGAAAACAGTTCTAGATTCGATCTATTGACCTGTCGGGATTAAAAGTTAATTAAACGTGTTTACTCAAGAGGGAAGTAAATCTTACAATTTGTAATAAACACAACGTCAGAAAATCTGCAAACAATTTTCTCAACGTTACAGTTCACGTTTGACAAAAGGAATGAATAATGAATTGCAGCTTGAATACAAAAAGGCAAATTGAAACAAATTGATCTTATTTTTGAAAGAGCTTCATAACTTCCTAACAATCAACATAATATTTACCTACAGTACACATAAACTCTAACCCAAACGTAGAAGAAAAAATTATCAAGTTTTATTACAAGACATTCGTCTTTCTCGTAATAACTTAATAATCCGTTCAAACTAACGAAAATTTGGAAACTTAGTTAATAAAGAGCTTCTAATAAAACGTACCAAGAAATAAGTCGATATTTGTACCTATAGAGTTGATAATTAGAAAGTAATTGTTCTTAACTTTATGAGAATATCTAACAGTTAGTTAGTTAGTAAGTTAACGAGTTGATGAATCCTTTTTTACCTTCATATCACCAGCAGATAATTAAAAAATAGTTGTTAACTTTATAAAAAATCTAATAAATTTATTAGTATATTCTCACAATGTTGAGGCCTACAGACAAAGGCTGACTGCTATTAATTACAAACACAAAAGCGTAAGTACCATTATTTATTCATCTTTAACAATAAATGCCCAATCAAAAACTAATCGCCCGTAACCACTCATGATACTAAATTACAATTCGACGCCACGCGAGTCACATTTAACTGGAGTCATTAATTTTTCGGGTTTTAGTGAAGCCATTAAAAAATAATAAACTAAAAATAATGTGGAAAACTAGTAGCCGTGGCAATATCTCATGTCGAAACTTGAAAAATCGGGACAATAATCCAATTGAAATTGATATTTACAGACTCACGGGAGGGTGCCATCGAAAAATATATGCACAGATATACCTAGGATTATTTTCAACGTAAACCGAAAAACAAAAAGAGTTTAATGACTTTCACACCAATAATACCACGCAAAAATACAAACTAATATTTAGATAGTCAATTTCTGCACCTATTATTTTTTACATTGAACTGTATCCCCTGTAAATCTGAATGACTAACTACGAGGCCAAGTCCATAAAACATGTCCTAGATCAAGACTATGTGTACAAGGCATGTCCCAGATCAAAACCAAGTCTGCAAGTTATATTCTAGAACAAAACGGCAATGGCAAGGTATATACCGGATCAAAAGAGGTCTGCAAGGCAAGTCCCAGATCAAAACCAAGTCTGCAAGGTATATTTCAGAACAAAACGAAGTCTGCAAGGTATATACTGGATCAAATGAAGTCTGTAAGCTATATTCCAGGTCAAGACTAAGTCTACAAGGCATGTCCTAGATTATATTCAGCACAAAACGAAGTCTGCAAGGTATATACTGGATCAAAAGAAGTCTGTAAGCTATATCCCAGGTCCCAGATTAAGCCCAAGTCTGCAAAGAATATTCCAGAGCTGAACGAAATCTGCAAGGTATATCTCTGATCAAAAAAAGACTGCAAGGCATGTCCCAAATCAAGACTAAGTCTACAAGGCATGTTTCAGATCAAGATTAACCCTGCAAGGCAAGTCCCACGTCAAAACCAAGTCTGCAAGGTATATTCCAGAACAAAACGAAGTCTGCAAGGTATATACTGGATCAAAAGAAGTCTGTAAGGTATGTCCTAGGTCAAGACTAAGTCTACAAGGCATGTCCCAGATTAAGCTCAAGTCTGCAAAGAATATTCCAGAGCTAAACGAAATCTGCAAGGTATATCTCGGATCAAAAAGACTGCAAGGCATGTCCCAAATCACGACTAAGTCTACAAGGCATGCTTTAGATCAAGATTAAGTCTGCAAGGCAAGTCCCAGATCAAAATCAAGTCTGCAAGGTATATTCCAGAACAAAACGAAGTCTGCAAGGTATATACCGGATCTAAATAAGTCTGTAAGGTATGTCCCAGGTCAAGACTAAGTCTACAACGCATGTCTCAGATTAAGGCCAAGTCTACAAAGAATATTCCAGAGCTAAACGAAATATGCAAGGTATATCTCGGATCAAAAAGACTGCAAGGCTTGTCCCAAATCAAGACTAAGTCTACAAGGCATGTCTCAGATCAAGATCAAGTCTTCAAGGCAAGTCCGAGATCAAAACGAAGTATGCAAGGCATGTTCCAGATGAAGATCAAGTCTGCAAGGCATATCCCTGATCAAGACCAAGCCTACAAGGCATGTACCAGACCCAAATCAAGTCTGCAAGGTATGTACCTGACCAAAACTAAGCCTGCAAGGCATGTCCCAGACAAAGATCAAGTCTGCAAGGCATGTTTCAGATCAAGACGATGTCTGTAAGACATGCCCCAAATCAAGACCAAGTCTACAAGGCATGTCTCAGATCAATATCAAGTCTTCAAGACAAGTCCGAGATCAAAACGAAGTATGCAAGGCATGTTCCAGATGAAGATCAAGTCTGCAAGGCATGTCCCTGATCAAAACTAAGCCTACAAGGCATGTCCCAGACCCAAATCAAGTCTGCAAGGTATGTACCTGACCAAAACTAAGCCTGCAAGGCATGTCCCAGACAAAGATCAAGTCTGCAAGGCATGTTTCAGATCAAGACGATGTCTGTAAGACATGCCTCAAATCAAGACCAAGTCTACAAGGCATGTCCAAAATCAAGATTAAATCTACAAGACATGTTCCTCATCGAGACCAAGTCTGCAAGGCATATCCCAGATCAAATCGAAGTCTTCAAGGTATGTCCCAGCTCGAGACCAAAATATAAGTCTAATGAAAACAGGTTTATAAGAAAGGATGTACCTTATGTATAAATTGTGTTGATTATAATCAGACCCGTTAGTACCAAATATAGAATACTAAGACTAAAATACCAAAAATACATTATAAAAATTACCATAGTGTCATTCTTGCTCATTACAGAATAAATATTTAGATATTTCACAATTTTCCGAGCAATATTAAAAGTAAAAACAAAAGCAAGGGAGAATCTTCCATAATACCAACATAACGACGTCAGTGAATAAAGGAAAGATGTGTTGAAATCCACAGTTGTTTCTCTAGTGCTAGGGGGGCAACTGTCCCCTGGGAACAGTATATTTAACAGAACTGCTCATTCCTGTTGTCTCCAATGATAACTCACCCCCGCAACCGTGTGAACGACCTCTATAATGACCATTCGAGCACATTCTCCCCCAACATGTCAACAGCAACCTTTAAATCGTATGATAATTAACTCGGATAAGGGTGCGTAATAATAAGAGAGAAAGAGACAGCGTGTTACGATCATGTGAAATACAACACTAAAACCAAGGAAAGAAAATCGTTACATCAAACCATGGAACACTTAATTACCTTAGTTAATTAATGCACATAATCAATCGAGTACAGTAGTTGTGTTAGATAGATAATTAAAATATTTTTGGAAGAACTTCTCAAAACAAATGTTTTCATATAAGTACTTACGTAGGTAAATTTATTTCACTATTAATTGCAAGTTTTTTCTTGAAATAACGTTACAATTTGTCGCCATGTCATAAAAACCGCCATTTCGTGTACTTTTACTGTCGACATTTTGTCGTCCGTTGTCAAGAATGTTGTCTATTGTTATGCGAACGCACCAAATCGAATAAAAATCAATATTTACATTACAAGTAATTGATTAAACAAGAAGTAACATATAAAAATAAGAATAAGAAATTACTGAATCTTTGTTTATTAATTGTTTATCATAATTGGAAGGCGTTTCTGGTAAAACGGTGGAGTTTAAGAAAGGCATTGTTGTTTTAATTGCTATGTATTTCGCGTATGTTGCAGACAAAGCTGGGTTCTCTTAAAAACATGACAATCGCAAAAGCCGCCTGGACCAGCCAATTTAACTCCAAATTTATTGCAGTGGTAGAGACGTACAGCCTAGAGATAATAGGAACTGTCGCATTGTAAAACCGTTCCCGGGAACAAATTATTGCTGATGTAGTGGCTATATGAGAATGCTGCTAAAACTACACTAAAACAGACCCGAAAAACGACCTGCACCATTACCAACTCCAAAAAAAAAAAGAACAACCAGCTTGCTCGACTGCGAATTCCCGACAAAACATCGAACAATCAAACAGTGATTTTTAACGAGCTATTATGAGTTTAACTGCTCCATCAGCAACACCCAATCCAAAAAATAATTTCACAAAAACTAATCGATATTAGTTACTGAACTTTTTGCCTATACGGTCTCCACTCCACTCTTTCCTATCCTGAGCTAATCAGGAGTGGTCACCTCTTCAAGTGAGTCCCTACCTTGCTTAAAGAGGGTATGCCACTTGATTTTACCTAGGCAAGAGTCCCCGAATGACATTTCTTTCGGTATGATTTGAACTGATTTTCTTTGCTTAGTAAAAAACTTATAACAGCGCGGTACTCAATTTTCTCCATATTTTACAATTTGTTCCCGATTGACATGTGTCCTAGACGATAGTTCAAAGACTACTGACCTAATTACGATAAAAACGACCCTCACTAATGATCTACCTACCCATTTCGCGAACTTAAAAACGCACCCCTGTAATTGTGACCTAAATTTGAACTATACTGGCTTTTGCTGAAAACCAGGAGCCTCAAGGACTAAACCTGACAATTTTGTATACCATTTCCATACTTATATTTCAAATAAATTTTCAAATTTCAAACACTTACCTGACAAATTTGATTTCGAATTTATAACTGCGATTGAATTCCATGAAGAATTTCAGAGCCCACATGTAATAAGACTCGTCATGTTGTTGATTTTTGCTCCTCGACAAAATGCTTTTGATGTGATGCATGACAGTGTTGTATGCCCCGTTCAAAAATTCCACGCAGAACTCTTTGAGGAGTAGCCGAATGCTGAAGGCCGAACGATGTTCGGGGATTACGTCCCGGACTGGTAATCTGTTCTTTGGCGTTTTTGGCTTAACTTTTTCCGCATCAAAATTTAAATCATCCAACCGGTTCAACGGCTTATGATAAATAAGATTATTTTCATCACTTATTGATTTCATGGAATTGATTACGTATGTCCCACCGAAACGCGAATGCCTGAAACAAAAGAAAACATCATATAGGTAACTACTTAATTGATAATCATCATTATATTGGGACAAGATGTTAAATATACTTAAAAATGTAGGGATGAGTTACACAGATAGAAGAGTGATACTTAGTTTGTATAAAGAGCAACAGGCAGTTATACAGCTGGAGCTGCAACGTAGAGAAGTAAATATTAGGAAGAGAGTCAAACAGGAATGCACACTATCGTAATCTATACATCTAAGACGCAATCAACATCATTAAATACTAAAGATTAAGTGTCCCTGGTATTTGATCCTAATTATTTTACAAATCATTCACCAAATACTAATAATTTTGAAGTACTTCTTTGCATGTCTAGCGCGTCCACCAAAATTATTTAATCTATTCAATATGTATGATATAGTTATAGGGTTGTTCGGAAAGTCATTTCGTATAATAAACAAATACTTTATTAAATTATATATTGACCGTTCTGGTCCAACACCTTTTGCCATCTTTCTGGTAGTAGCATAATTCCACGCTCATAAAATTTTTGGTCTTTGCTGGCAAAAAACTGATCGAGGAGGTTTTTGACCTCCTCATTTGAGGTGAAGGTTTTACCGTCTAAAAAATTTTGGAGTGACCGGAACAAATAATAATCCGATGGTGCCAGGTCTGGAGAATATGGTGGGTGTAGCATTGTATCCCATTCAAGCTGTAAAAGCTTTTGGCGAGTGACCAAACTTGTGTGAGGTCTCGCGTTGTCTTGGTGAAACACTACACCTTTCCTGTTGATTAGTTCTGACCTTTTCTGTTGAAGTGCATCATTCAGTTTGTCCAGCTGATGACAGTAGACTTCCGAATTAATCGTTGTGTTATCCGGTAAAAGCTCAAAAAAAACGATTCCTTTAAAATCCCACCAAACAGACAGCATCACCTTTTTTTGGTGAATATCGGCTTTGGAAATGGTTTGAGCCGGTTCATCTTTTTTGCTCCATGACCTCTTGCGTTTGACGTTGTTGTATACAACCCATTTTTCGTCCCCAGTGATGATGCGCTTCAAAAACGGATCATTTTCGTGACGTTTGAGAAGCGAATCGCAGACGTCAATGCGGCGACACAGATTTCTCTCTGTGAGAACATGGGGAACCCATACATCGAGCTTCGAGGATAATCCCAGGCCTTTCAAGTGGTCATAAACTGTTGAATTTGATAAATTTAACCTCAATCCGATCTCACGTGTTGTTATTCGCCGGTTCACATCAACTAATGCCTTTATCGCGTCTTTATCAGCTTCAACCGGCCTTCCCGAACGTGGTGCATCTTCGACATCAAAATTGCCGGATCGAAATTTAGCGAACCAGTTCTGGCACTGGCGTACTGTCAACACACCTTCTCCATACACATCAGTCAATTTCTTTCTGGCTTGAACAGCATTTTTACCCTTTCTGTAGTAAAACAGTAAGATATGTCGAAAATGCTGCTTATCGCTCTCCATATTTAAAAGGGCACCAACCAAAAACTACTGCGTAGAATTAATTGGAATTTTTCACACACAAGCCTTGCTATATGAGCTCTCAAAGCATATAAAAATTATACGGCTTAAATGTGAAGTTGGGTCCAAAAGAATACAATTAAATCCCCTGTCGGGAAAAATGACTTTCCGAACAACCCTATATTTAAAAACGAAAATACGTCTTCAGTTCTTATTCATGGAACGTAAAACTGATAAAAAAATGTAATGTTATTACACCATTTTGAAATATTCAACGATCTTAAATTGTTGTAATATATAAACTGTTATGACGATACCGGAAAACCCGACGCCCATAAAAATATAATAAACATAAAAAAATATCACATTTCTCATCCGGGGGATGCTGATACCCTCGTTATCCTAAAGGCCATTTGGAGCATATATTTATAAAAGTTTATATAATAACTTCACCCCTCATTCGATGTTGAAAACCCAGTGACCAAATTTACTCCCATAAGGGGTGGTCAAGTAGAATATTGCTTATTGTTAGTTTAGTAAATTGGTAATTACAAAGCCACCCTTCATCACCATCATCATCATAAGGTTTCCAGCCCGAAGACTCTACATCTACCCCTCTAATTCCTATTTCTACATCTAATATATCTCTAACTAGCCCTTCATACCTGAGAATCTATTTCCCATATTATGAGGTATCCTAATTCAACCACCTTTAAATAAAAATAAACGAATATAGATTTTATTGAATTCAATTTTAATAAATCGTCATCATCATAAGGTCCTCAGTCCTAAGACTGGTTGGACACGTACCTCCACTCTTTCCTATCCTGAGCTAAACATTTCCCTAAAACTAGAACAGCCCACATCCTTAGCTATTTGCGAACAGTAATCTAATCTAGGTCTACCTCTATCCCTCCTAACTCCTGCATCTGCCTCTAATATGTCTCTGACTAGACCTTCATGCATGAGAAGCTGTCCTACCAACCTATTTCGCCTATTTTTATTGACTTCCATAGAGTCCTCTGTTCTCCTATTCTTTCCAATACCTCTTCATTTTTAACCTCCTCTATCCACGGTATCCTCATCATCCGCCCATAACACCACATTTCGAACGCTTCTAACCTTTTCTTTTCCGCCGCTCCCACTGTCCATGTTTCGCAGCCGTACAACGCCGTGCTCCAAACATACACCTTTAACAACCTTTTTCGAATTTCTAAATTAACGGTTCGCGTGCATAGAAGTGACTTCTTTTTATTAAAGGCGACACGACCCTGCGCTATCCTCTGCTTTATATCCCTACTACTCCTTTCATCCTCACTTATCTGACTTCCTAGGTATCTAAAATCAGCCACTTCTTCTAATTTTTCGTCTTCTACCTTTATATTCGCTCTTTCCCTACTTTTTCTTCCCCTGCATACCAGTACTTCAGTTTTACTTTTTGTTACAATTTGTTTATTTAAATCATACTAGCGAATATTTTTCATGATAAAATTGAAGCAGAAAATAATGAATATATGTGTATTTCCTCATTAATAAAACATGTAATATCTTCCTACATATATTAAAAAGTAAAATTTCTTTTTCAGTTATTTGAGTACGAATGGAGAAGAATTTAGTTATAACCACAGCTACAAACCACAAACCATCATCCATGTCTAATATTTATTTTTATTACAAATACTTTGCACTTTTGAATCGGAATAGGTACAGGATTTTTATACAACATTTATTGAATTCCTATGTCAGTTATAACATTTATTACATAATTTTTTTTTTATCGTGATCCGTTAGAGCGTAAGTGAACGTTGAGGGACACGTGCTTTATAATCAATTTTCCCTCGAATTTACCGGAGAATAATTTTGAATAGAAAGTTGCGCGTTGACATTAATTGGTAGCAAAATCGTTTTCGAACCGACGGCAATTTCTGCATGGAATGGAAAATAGCGATCATTAGTTGATTTAAAACTTGTGTCTCAATTAGACCTAACGTGGCCAGATGTCTAGCACCGATAATATGGGGCCGTACCTAATGGGGCATTTTCCAACAGACCGGTTCATTAAAAGGAAAATTTAATGGAACCAACCATCACAAACGCGAATGCATGCATTTACGCTTTATAGCATTTACAATACCAAAAAGAAATTTTACCAATTACTTTTTTTGTATTGAAATTTTAATTTAATACGAAAATACCACATAACGCGGCTAGGTATTAACACGGTACAAAGTGCTGAAGCTTCTCAATTAAGATAGTATTCATACAATATAATTGTGCCTTAACACGGTACAATAACCCTTTTCAGGTACAAAGTTTTAGTAACACAGTTTTTACTTAACACGGTATAGCAAGTGCAGTAAATTCCTTTTTTAACTCGACATTGATATAATATGGTTTTAATTTAACACGATATAATTATTCCACCATCACTTCTCTAACACAGCAAGGTATTAACACGGTACAAAATGTCCGAAAGCTTTCAATTAACATAATATTCATACAATACAGTTGTTACTTAACACGGTACAATAACCACACCTGCCCTTTTCAGGTACAAAGTTTTAGTAACACGGTTTTTACTTAACACGGTATAATTATTCCACCATCATTCTTCTAACACAGCAAGGTATTAACACGGTACAATAAGTCCGAAAGCTTTCAATTAACTTAGTATTCATACAATACAGTTGTTACTTAACACGGTACAATAACCACACCTGCCCTTTTCAGGTACAAAGTTTTAGTAACACAGTTTTTACTTAACACGGTATAGCAAGTGCAGTAAATCCCTTTTTCAACTCCACATTGATATAATATGGTTCTAATATAACACGGTATAACTATTCCAGCATCATTTCTCTAACACAGCAAGGTATTAACACGGTACAAAAAGTCCGAAAGCTTTCAATTAACATAATCTTCATACAATACAGTTGTTACTTAACACGGTACAATAACCACACCTGCCCTTTTCAGGTACAAAGTTTTAGTAACACAGTTTTTACTTAACACGGTATAACAAGTGCAGTTAAAGACCGTTTTTACACCACAATGATATAACATGGTTTTAATATAACACGGTATAACTATTCCAGCATCATTCCTCTAACACGGTACAAAGATTCCTAAAGCTCCCAATTAACATAGTATTCATACAATATTAATCCCTTTCTTAACACCACATTGTTATGATTAGTTTTAATTGCAACATTTTTCCTTTACTGCATTGTATTAACACGGTACAATTGCTAAAGCTCTGAGTTAACATAATATCTGTTCTTTTCTTCTTCTTTCCAACAATACGACTGTGATTAAAAATAACTAAAAATCTACTTAATTAGCTAACTAAACGAGTGTTTCAATCGTGTTAAGTCTTGACAACCAATTTACTTAACGGTTTTGGATTCCACTGTGGTATTTTACTTCAGTTTATATAAACAATTCAGTGGAGTAAATAAAATTCCGCAATACTGTACATGTATATAACACTAATTACAATTCCTTCCGATTTTCTGAACAAAGGAACATCAAACGATATTTATGCCCTCATCGTTTATGACACCCCGGCCGGCATTTTCCGAAACAGTTTCCCAATAACCGCCCCCGTAATAACCTCGAAAGCTAATCGTTCGTGTGTGCGTATATTATATAAAAGATCGAAATATATTCATGCACTATACTATGCCACAAACAAAAGCCAAAAAGTGACTTAGAAATTGTATAATTAAACGGTACCTAATCACTACATAGTACAAAACAAAGTCGCTTTCCCGCTGTCTGTCCCTATGTATGCCTAAATCGTTTAAAAAACTAAACTACGCACCGGATTTTGATGCGGTTTTTCTTAAAAGATAGAGTAATTCAAGAGGAAGGTTTATGTGTATAATACGTGCATAATATAGTAGGGAAACACTGATAATTTTAGAGGTTTCTAATGTGATGTCGTAAATAAACGTATTTTTTGCGCTTACATTGCAAACGCTGGCTGAACCCTACGAGATAGATCAAAATAATGTACTACAATATTGTACATCTTAAAAGGGTCTACAAAAAAGTCCGGATGGTATATGTCTATCTCTTAGGGGTAACCCACAATAACCATTTTTATCCTTTACTTTTTATGAGAAATAATGACTTATTTACGAAGCGATTGTAGGCAATACAGCATTAATTCTTATCCAATTAAGTACCTTAAATACATTGTGCATTTAATATAGATCAATATGGCCCTTTACAGCATGTAATTTAAATGAATATTTTCGAAGATATTACAGATTTAAAATGCAGGGACATAGCGGTTGCGGCGGTACCGGCCGGGAGGCCGGTTTGTATTGTCTAATGACAAAAAAACTGTGAATGTTGTATATAAAGACATTCTGTAGTATATTTAGTATGTTCAGGGGGTATATTTTGAAGATTTCCCCTTTTCGACAATAATCTAAACAAAACAAAAATACATTTAGTATCAGCATTGCACCCGTGCGAAGCTGGGCCGGGTCACTAGTTAAATATAAGAACTGATTTTACATTTTGAAGTAAGGACTGAATTTAATGGTTCATTTCTCCATTTACATCAGGTGATTCAATGTCTAACACAAAGTAGATAGAAATATTAAAATAATGTCGTAGAAAATTGTTGTTTTCCATCCTTCAAAACCCAAATTATACCCAAGTTAAAATTCAAAACGTGACTTTTTTAAAGCCCTTTGTTTGAAGCAAAATCCCATAAATTCCCAGCCGATCCGTTTATCGACACCATCTTTCAAACAAAGCCTTTTGCATTATCGTGTCGTAATTAACATCGCCACAACGAGAACGGTGCCTGGCGAACCACAGCGACACACGAGCTTCCATGACAATGTTCGTATAACATACACACACACACATACATAAGTGCGTATACACACCATCTATGTCTGATAAATACATCGCCCCACGTCCACAAATTATGTGCGTACGAGGGACATCGACAATTTACACCAATAAGCTCAAACAAAGAGCCAAAAGCTCCGACAATATACAAAAAAGCTCTAAATAATGTTTACAAACGCTGCACAGCTCTTAGTGTCCCTACTGAAAGGGAATTGCAACTGTACTTTTATCTGAATCTGTAGAACTCAGTGACAGTTGATAATCTAATAACACGGTACATAAACTGATAAAGCTCATAATTGTAATAGTATTCTTGATACGATACATAACTGCTGTCACAAGCTATAATAAAGCAGTGTTACTTAACACGGTACAACAAGAACAAGTTATTCTTCTTCCCTTTTTTAACACCACGTTCTAATACGGTATACTTGCAGAATCGCTCTAATAACAGGGAATCATATTAAGACATCAGTAGGCACTAAAATTGTTGAGATTCTTAATTGTAATAACACAGTTCTGAGTTAACGTAGCGAATAATTGCAATGATGTGGTATGCGGTATAGGTACACTTAACACGGTACAATAATTAAAAGAAGTGTTTAACACAGCAATCCAACAAGACTTAACACGGTTATTACTTAACACGGTGCAATTATTGTTACAATCTATTTTTAACGCTGCATTCTTATAACACTGCATGTATAAACCATTGTAACAGTGCATCGTTAGCTGTAGTATTGTAAGACTTAACACGGTTATTACTTAACACGGTGCAATAATTGTTGCAATCTACTTTCAACGCTGCATTCTTATAACACTGTATGTATAAGTCATTGTAACAGTGCGTCCTTAGCTGTAGTATTGTAAAACTTAACACGATTATTACTTAACACGGTGCAATAATTGTTGCAATCTACTTTCAACGCTGCATTCTTATAACACTGTATGTATAAACCACTGTAACAGTGCATCCTTAGCTGTAGTCTTGTAAGACTTAACACGATTATTACTTAACACGGTACGATGTTTGTTACAATCTACTTTCAACGCAGCATTCTTATAACACTGTATGTAAAAACCATTGTAACAGTGCGTTCTTTGCTGTAGTATTGTAAGACTTTACACGGTTATTACTTAACACGGTAAGATGATTGTTACAATCTACTTTCAACACTGCATTCTTATCACACTGTATTGTAACAGTGCGTCCTTAGCTATAGTCTTGTAAGACTTAACACGATTTCGATATTACATAGATTCTTGCAACACAACTTCAACACAACAGGGAACTAACTACTCATGTTAAATAAAGATAGATTCTACTGTATCGACAATTTTTAAATTTACCTTTCCCCTTGAAACTTTCGAATGCTATTCACATACATAATGAATGTTATTCGTACGATCTCTTCTGTATCGTCACCCCCACGCTAAGGGACGTTATATTAAAGGATGTTATTTTATTCAAATGTAATTTATTTTGAAGTGCAGAGTTCCATTTTGCGCAGCGTTCAGTCAGGATATGTATGTAATCTCATACGTACGCGGGGATAGCACTGTGGACACCTACAAGGGGTTGGGCGGGTAAGGAGGGGGCTAGTATTCCCGTTTAATTTATCGCGAAGGGATGATCTATCAAAAAGGACCGAAGCTGGAGAGGAAGTTTCGAAGCCAATGTATCGGAACATCGAGGGTGGCTACACCTTTGTTATACGTTAGACTCAAAATGTGTACCAAGCTAATTTTGCGAGGGTGCTGAACAGACAACTTTGTCTGGACTATTATTAGAAAAGGCGGGGGATGTTACAATTCACAATACAATAACCACGGGAGACAGATAAGACGTTTAATTGAAAGTAATTTGCTTGCGTCTTTAAAAATTAATTCGAGCATAAACGTCAACTAAATTTCAGTATTTAAAAAATAAAAAACTATCTTACCTTGCACTGGTGAACTTCTTCATCTTCTGCTGTCGTTGTTGAACTTCTCGATGGCGTATGGCCAACAGTTCTGCTTCGTCCTTAGTTTTTTCGGTTTGACTCCTGGAACAACACACAAAAAATATTTGATAGTTAAAATGAATTACACGTCACTACATAGTATAAAACAAAGTCGCTTTCCCGCTGTCTGTACCTATGTATGCTTCAATCTTTAAAACTACGCAACGGATTTTAATGCGGTTTTTTTTAAAAGATAGAGTGATTCAAGAGGAAGGTTTATATGTACAATACATGCATAATATAGTAGGGAACACTGATAATTTTAGAGGTTTCTAATGTGGTGTCGTAAATAAACAAATTTTTTGCGCTTACATTGCAAACGCTGGCTGAACCCTACGAGATAGATCAAAATAATGTACTACAATATTGTACATCTTAAAAGGGTCTACAAAAAAGTCCGGATGGTATATGTCTATCTCTTAGGGATAACCCACAATAACCATTTTTATCCTTTACTTTTTATGAGAAATAATGACTTATTTACGAAGCGATTGTAGGCAATACAGCATTAATTCTTATCCAATTAAGTACCTTAAATACATTGTGCATTTAATATAGATCAATATGGCCCTTTACAGCATGTAATTTAAATGAATATTTTCGAAGATATTACAGATTTAAAATGGTTGCGATGGTACCGGCCGGGAGGCCGGTTTGTATTGTCTAATGACAAAAAAACTGTGAATGTTGTATATAAAGACATTCTGTAGTATATTTAGTATGTTCAGGGGGTATCTTTTGAAGATTTCCCCTCCTCGATATTAATCTAAACAAAACAAAAATATATTTAGTATCAGCATTGCACGCGTGCGAAGCTGGGGCGGATCGCTAGTTTCTTATAAATAAAGAACAATTTTCAGGAAAACTTCCACTGTATCAACAAAAAAATCGTTTTTGCTATCATACAATGTGAATATCTTAAAGGGCTCTTAAAAGAAGTCGAAATAAAAAAGTTTTGACGGAGAAAGAGGGAATAAACTTACCGTTGAAGAGCAGCTTGAGCCAATTCGGTCGGATTTTGTTCCCTAAGCATAAAATACAACACTTCCATTACATGCATATGATAAAGCTTCTCTGTTCCCGAACAGACGATATAAAGCATGATGTCAATCATCCCGGACTGATGCAGGGCCCATATAACCTGAAATACAAAGTATACGAAAATAAACCTACAAGAAACTTTCCCAATTTTTGTTGGTACGTAAAAATTAACGTAAATTCGGAAAATATTGAAATTTATAATCGGTAGACAGATCGTACTTATTTTAATACAAAAAGAACTAGTTATTTAACTGCACCCAGCAAAGGAACTAAACTGAAAACTTGGAAATGGAAAATATTTTGCAGAAAATTCGTCAGTTACAGACACAACCAGAAAATACTTTTCTGTTTGCTGCAATGTATAAAACTTTCGGAATACTTTTAATCCCTAATAACTTATATGTATGTTACAAACCTGGTCGTGTACATTGGCGTCGTTGTCTGGACGACGTATCCTGTCCAAATCAGAAGGAATGTACAACACATTCCTAATAAGAATCAGGATTCGCTCTATGATCAGGCTGTTTTCATCGCCGCGCTCCGCAATGTCCTGAAAATAACGAAATTTCCTTCGTCAATTTTAATTATTATCAAGCCTTTCTCTATATAACTTATCAAACAAATGTTCCTGGAAGATCGCCTTAATAAAGAATAAACTAAATTAAAATAGATGTACCTATATCATTCGGTACATTCGTATCTACACTCATAGCAGAAATCTTATTAAAGTTTTGCAAGATCTGAAGCACAATATCAAACGTAAAATTAAATTTAATAAAAGAAAAGGCACCGTCTTGCTCTTATGTAGATACTATATTTTTATACAACAATTTTATCAGACCGTGCTTATTGAAAAATCGATTCAAAACAAAAAAAATCTGTCTGAGTTACAAAAAAATCAAAAGAAGTTAAAGAAAGATTCAAAATGTTTTCAAGAATGACAAATTTAGTATCAAATGCATTGAGACTTTAAACTGTTTTAGAACTTAATAACAATAAATTTGAAAAATAAAAAAAGTTTAATGTAAACCTAGAAGGGAGCGAGTTCAATATTGCGTTTTTTTTGGGGAATTTCCCGAAATAATTTATTTATTTAATATTCTGAATGTCTCGTCGCCCCAAGACAGTTCATTAAGTCTTTCGGCTCATTAAGAACGACCAATGAAGTAAAGCGACAGGCAAAGAATCCTAATGAGCGCCTATCACATCGATAGCGATGTATCCCATGTGACGTCCGACCGACGTAAGCCCTTTTTACCCCCAACGACTAATTAAATGTATCAGACGTAAAACTTCGATTTGTGAAAGTCCAACGCAAAAGTTCTAAATTAAACAGAAAAATTTACCCCAATTGTTAAAAATCTTTTATCGTATTTAGGCTTAAATAATTTGCGTCAGTCTTACAATTCATTTGCTTCCCATTTCACCTGTTTTAATAGCCATTGCTTTTTATTTTATTGTTTCTTCTTCTAAAAAGAGATTTAATTAATTAAGTTAAAATGCTTTCCGGCTTCAATAGATGGGGCGCATCTTTCCACCTCTAGTTTGATAAGAAATTTTGTATCTAATGCAAACTAATATTACAATCTAGTTTCAACGCTTCATTCTTATAACCCTGTAAGTAGAAACCATTGTAACAGTGCGTTTTTAGCTGTAGTCTTGTAAGACTTAACACGATTATTACTTAACACGGTGCAATGATTGTTAAAATCTACTTTTAACGCTACATACTTATAACACTATATGTAGAAACCATTGTATCAGTGCATCCTTAGCTGTAGTCTTGTATGACTTAACACGGTTATTACTTAACACGGTGCAGTAATTGTTACAATCTACTTTCAACCCTGCATTATTATCACACTGTATGTATAAACCATTGTAACAGTGCATCCTTAGCTGTAGTCTTGTATGACTTAACACGGTTATTACTTAACACGGTGCAATAATTGTAACAATCTACTTTCAACGCTACATTCTTATAACACTGTATGTATAAAGCATTGTAACAGGTCGTCCTTAGCTGTAGTCTTGTAAGACTTAACACGGTTATTACTTAACACGGTGCAATAATTGTAACAATCTACTTTCAACGCTGCATTCTTATAACAATGTATGTATAAACCATTGTAAGAGTGCGCCCTTAGCTGTAGTCTTGTAAGACTTAACACGGTTATTACTTAACACGGTGCAATAATTGTAACAATCTACTTTCAACGCTGCATTCTTATAACAATGTATGTATAAACCATTGTAAGAGTGCGCCCTTAGCTGTAGTCTTGTAAGACTTAACACGGTTATTACTTAACACGGTGCAATAATTGTAACAATCTACTTTCAACGCTGCATTCTTATAACAATGTATGTATAAACCATTGTAAGAGTGCGCCCTTAGCTGTAGTCTTGTAAGACTTAACACGGTTATTACTTAACACGGTGCAATAATTGTAACAATCTACTTTCAACGCTGCATTCTTATAACAATGTATGTATAAACCATTGTAAGAGTGCGCCCTTAGCTGTAGTCTTGTAAGACTTAACACGGTTATTACTTAACACGGTGCAATAATTGTAACAATCTACTTTCAACGCTGCATTCTTATAACAATGTATGTATAAACCATTGTAAGAGTGCGCCCTTAGCTGTAGTCTTGTAAGACTTAACACGGTTATTACTTAACACGGTGCAATAATTGTAACAATCTACTTTCAACGCTGCATTCTTATAACAATGTATGTATAAACCATTGTAAGAGTGCGCCCTTAGCTGTAGTCTTGTAAGACTTAACACGGTTATTACTTAACACGGTGCAATAATTGTAACAATCTACTTTCAACGCTGCATTCTTATAACAATGTATGTATAAACCATTGTAAGAGTGCGCCCTTAGCTGTAGTCTTGTAAGACTTAACACGGTTATTACTTAACACGGTGCAATAATTGTTACAACCTACTTTCAACGCTGCATTCTTATAACACTGTATGTATAAACCATTGTAACAGTGCGCCCTTAGCCGTAGTCTTGTAAGACTTAACACGGTTCTCACTTAACACGGTACAATAATTGTTACAATCTACTTTAGGTTTTAGCAATTTACGTCAATCTAACAAAGATAATTCTCATTTGTTTTCTATTTCACCTGTTTTAAGAGCCATTGTTTTTTATTTTATTTGTTTCTTCTTCTAAAAAGAGATTTAATTAATTAAGGTAAATGCTTTCCGGCTTCAATAGATGGGGTGCGCCTTTCCACCTCTAGTTTGATAAGAAATTTTGTAATGCAAACTTGTCGGCAATATTTAAAAGCTAATTGGATGTGCGCTACAAAGTTTTCGCATACTTAAATCTTTTAACGAAAGAGTGCCTCGAATGTCCCAGTTACATAATAATTATTGTGCAGGGTCGCATAAAACGACGAGCTCCCGTAATTTGAAATTAGCGGTTAATTTTATAGGAAACTGTGACCCATTTCCGCTTAGCATCAGAACAGTTTCAAATTTACGATTCTAACTTGTTCAAACAAAAATGTATGTATCATATTGTTTTCTACGTAATTTCATTTAGTGATGAAACGATTATTGCATATTGATTACAATTATTTCTGTTTTTTAATAATATATGCTATTGCCGATTAAAGAGCATATATTTAATACCATAAAGTGATAACTAATAGTAAGAGAATTAAAAAACTTAAAATAATCGCGAGATTATTGCATTCCCTCTATTACAATCGAGTCGACGACTGAGCGGGGAAGTCCCTAAAACATCAAGCCAGGCGAAGTAGCGTTCGGATACACGTGAACAAAACATTAACATTACGCACATTTACGAAGTATGTTAAATTAACAATAGGAATTAATTCCTTTGAAAATAAAAGTCATAAACAATCACTATATAATTGCAATGATTACGAATGATAGTGAAATGTCCAAAATCGTCGATTACGATTAATCATCACTAATTTCATTAACCTTGTAATAACGATTATACCGCTGGATTAATTATATTTTATACTTTTCTGTAACGGTAATTACACCCCCCAGAAAAGTCTTGTAACTACGTAATTATTATACTCATTTTAAGTAATTAATAACGCGAATTAAAGTAGAAAATTTGTACTAATTTAGGCTGTTTTCAATTATTAAACCCATTATATAATTAAAATTTACTAATATTGAAACTAATAAAATAAAAAAGTTAGTAAGTAAACAAATAAAAGAGAGAAAATAACTGTTAGTAACACATATAATTAAAAAAAATTACATATCAGTTATGTTGTATTTCAAAAAAAAAATTGTACTATTAAAATTTAACAATTCAAAGTAAAAAACAAATAAATAAAATTCTTTCACATACAATGTCAAGAACAGAAGTCAATTTCTTGGAAAGTACAGCCCATATCTTTTCATCTGCAAAAGCTTGCTTGTAGATCTGCAAATGATCCTCAATTTGAAGGTAGTAGTTTCTAGCAGTCTTTTCTTTCGGTGCTTCTTCATTCCACAAGACCAATGCAGGGGTAGTTAAATTGACCAACAATCTATAAATACATTAAAAATACATTAATGCCATAAAACTGATGCATGGAAACATGTAATATAAGAAAAATTATAGAATTATGGAATAGCTTACCTCAAAACAACATCAAACAGCTCTGTATTGTCAAAGTGGTTCTTGATGAGGGGTAGTAAATCAGTCTCAAGAATATTAGCATCACCAAAGAACCTACGTATTTCATGGGTATCATCGTCCCTTCTCAAGTATCTAATGATGTCTTTGACAGTCTCTAATGTATTATCATCAGTGTAATACTTTTGGGAATCAGCATCAAAGTACCCTATTGCATTACATGTGGCTGCAAGCTCAGCTTGAAGTAATGAAGACATTTTAATGTTCAGTCAGTTCTTAACAATTTACACTGATTAAAATTTCACAAACTCCACAAAAGCCGCACTTTTAGTCAGAATACACACAAATACCGCCAGAGATTACCAAATAATTAAGATTAACGAACCAACTTCTTAGACTCATTTAAACTTTGTCTAAATTCGTTGCAATCGTATCAGTGAAATGAAAGTTCATTTTTATAAAAAAGAACAGATAAATTCTAAACGAAATATTCCGCCACGACCGCCAAAACCCGCTTTAATACAACGAAAATCACCGATCGAAGGTAATCGAAATAACGATCGAAAGTCAGGTTATGTTACATATGACGTTTAAGCATTAGAACTATTCCTTTAAACCGGTAGTAGTTCCAAAGTTTCACAGAAAAATTTGATATACAGAGTGATTAAACTTTTAACGCCACATTTGAATTAATAATTAGAAATTAATCTTGAACTGCTAGAAAGAAATTATAAGATACAGTGACATTATAATGTAGCTAAATTGTAGGTGCACTTGTAAATTTGTTTATTTAAATAATATTTAGTAAAATATATAAGAAAATTGATGTTAATATGTTTAATATGTATTATTTAACACCCTCATGCACCCCAATCTTGAATTCGAGCAGTAGATTGAAATTTAATCGGTTCTTCCTGAATTCGATTTAGTTAACTAGCTGGATCCATTTAGCGCCGACTTTCTCTCCCCCAATCAGTGCAAATCCCATTTCCTCCCTCCACTCCTTCCACCATGTCCTAAAGAAATTAGGCGAATCCTAATAAAAAGTCAATTTCCGCAACAATATTTGATATCAATGAGTTACGCCGCGGGCATGGCCCTTATCTCCTTCGTCCAGAGGAGGAACCCTTTTCAAAAGAATTGACAGCAGTCAATTCTGCGAGACGCTAAAGCCATCAAATTTATTCAATTGCAGTCGCACTGCCACGACTTTTAGAAGTGAAAGCGTAAAAGCAGTCAAATTTATTATCTTCAGTTTATTTCCGCAATAAAATGAATGGAAATTGGTAAAAGGGAATCTATCTTTTCTTCCAAAGCCATTGACGCGTTATTTTTCCAGTTACCGGGGAGACTAAACCGTCAAAGTCAAAAAGTTTATACTATTGTTGTAAATAAACAACTAAACAGCGAAGTTTCACTAAAAAAAATTAGATTAGGTAGCTAAAGGAGTACAGAAACAAAAATTTCGTCAACTTCTTGACATCCCTTAATAATTATAAGTGAAATAAGTAAAAGTGTGCTAGAGCCGGTTCACATGAGAGTTAATGAGATAATCCATCATATAAGAACCTGGATACAGAGAGTGGTTTTCAGATTTCACGAAAACATAGAGCACTTGCACTCGCGATAATTTATCACGTCTCACTACAAAGTCACTAGGTGCAATAAATAATCATGTTTAACGATAAAAAGCTGTGATATAACTGAAGGGAGTTGGAGGTTTCTTTCACCGAAGTAAACATTCTATAATACAACACAGAAAAATATTAAAATTAAGAACTTCAGTAATTTATCCTTTGTTGTATACATTTTACCAAGAATAATGCCTATAAACTACCTATTTGGCATCGCACTCGAAAACCGTTGACATCATGAGATTCTACGCACATTTTTACATAAACATCACCCCTTAAAGCTTAATAGATACCTTTCATCTCCGAATAATTTCACGAGCGCCTTTTTAAGTCTAAATTATTTTACACATTTTAACAAAAGGATGCCGGAAACTACTTATTTGACATCGCACTCGAAAACCGTTGACACCGTGAGATTCTACGTACTTTTTTACATAATCATCACCCCTTAAAGCTTAATTGATACTTTTCATCTCCGAATAATTTCACGAGCGCCTTTTTAAGTCTAAATTATTTTACATATTTCAACAAAAGGATGCCGGAAACTACCTATTTGACATCGCACTCGAAAACTATTGACACCATGAGATTCTACGTACTTTTTTACATAATCATCACCCCTTAAAGCTTAATAGAAAATTTTCATCTCCGAATAAATTCGTGAGCGCCTTTTTAAGTCTAAATTATTTTACATATTTCAACAAAAGGATGCCGGAAACTACCTATTTGACATCGCACTCGAAAACTATTGACACCATGAGATTCTACGTACTTTTTTACATAATCATCACCCCTTAAAGCTTAATAGATACTTTTCATCTCCGAATAATTTCACGAGCGCCTTTTTAAGTCTAANGAAATTTACATTTCCTGGAAGGTGTTTTGTAAATTTTAATAAAAATTTTAAAAACTATACACAGATATTACTTTATTCATAATATAGTGTATATTTGTGGTTCTGTCTGTGGAATTTACTGTATCTCGACATATTGTCTATTTATAAACGCAAGTTCGGGCGAAAACTTGGAGCAACTGGGAATACGTACCCGTAATTCCTGAATACCAAATTTCATGTGGCAATTGACACCGAAACTAAACTACATTTTCCTTAAAATTATCACAAGATACACCCTTATATGTCAAGTGTAAAAAGTTTTACAACGCAGTCAAAGCATTTCTTCAAAAATATGTCGAAATTTTTGTAGGTTTATAAACTTTTAATGGTTCATAAACAAATGTTGACGTGGCGTGAATAACACGATCAGAAATTGATCGGGTATTAAAGGCTGGAAATTGGTATTTTTTATGGGAAATAATTCTGCTGTTTATTGAAAGTTTATCTTTTAATATCACGCCTTCTCGTTTAACATTAGATACATACTAAGAAATACAATTTTTGAAAAAATAACTGTTGTATTATGTCCTAAAGAAACTGATTGATTTAATATAAAAATTGCAGCGTTTGTCCCATTTCACACAAAGTAGGTGTCTATCTATCAATTTATCGAAATAGCTTATTAGATTTTGAACTATGTTTAAAATATTTTATATATTCTTTAACAAATACAATGCTTGATATCGCTCTTAAAAACCTTTGATACATTTTTTTTAACAGCATATTCATTAAGCACAATTTTGAGAGGAGCCACTAATCTAGATAAATTGATTGTATAATTGATAAGGGAACCACAAGCTTCGTTAGTATATCTACGCTAAATATGTAGATTGTTGGATTTGTATTCAATTAAAAAGAAAACCGAATGTGTTATCACACAAATACTGATAAAAATATATATATATATAAAGAGAAACGCAGAAAACCGAGTATATGATAGGGGTTTGAGGGTTGACAATGACAAGAGTTATAAAGGATGTTGAATACGAATTCACAAGCCAGGAGCCAGCCAGCCAGCTATCATCGGCTCCGTCTGTTGCCTGCCAATGTACGATAAGAAGATATGATTAACTTTCCAACCCTCTGTTGTACTTACAACACACCACCCCCGTCTGTATTGAAACTTAACTGATGTCGACTTCAACCAAAATTCCTTTTTTCATCGCCACAATCGTCACGTCAATACCAACAGGGCGGAACTCCGATATCAAACGGATGTCGAACGGATAATAATGTTTTTTAAGGGAATTTTTCTTTCTAAATGTACAGGATAATTAATTGATAATAATACATACAATATGATCAATAAAAATTTAAGAATCTCTCGTTGAAAATCCGGCAACCAAGAATTAAAATGGTTAATTGTCTAAATGACTTCTGTAGTTGTAGTAATTAACTGAAAGTCATCCAGAACGAAGAAATGACCCATTAACTGTAGTGGTTTTGCTCTATATTAAATACATACATACAAAAATGTTATGTAACCAAATACTCCCGAATTTCCAGGCAGTATCTACTTTTAGAACATCGTATTTTCATAGAGAAATAAATGGCTATCTGGCTGTTTGTTGTAACATATTTAGGGGTGAATAAGGACAAGAGGGTAACGATTGGGCAGCAAGATATGATCGCGACGTACCGTGTACATAAATCAGCCAACTTAGTTGAGAAGTTCGTCGACACATCTCTCAGCAAGTTGTTCACTCTCCGCTAATATATCACATCACAACCCCATCATCCTTAGTCTATCAAACTTGAAAGTAATCCCACACTGTAATAAATAAACGCTTCATCAACGTCCTTCTTAGACGCCTGGAGCTACAAATATAATATTATACGACAAAGCAAACAGAATCACCATGGAAATACAAAGGAAAATCATATACAAAGAATACATGGCAATCCAACGTTTTTTATCAGTTGTATTTCATTAACAATTGGGAACATGTACCAAAGTACCGTGTGCCAAACTGAAGGTCTGAGAATTCTACATTCATTGAAATAGACCGCGGGACGATAGGTCCACGGCTCATGAGCGCATAAGCGCATAAGAAAGATTTGTATTTATGGATCCATGATTTGTACTGCTCTTAATTGGTTGGTTCTACATATGTCTTTTCTGTTCGATGACGGGATACCTATCAATAAAAATGATGAGCTTCATTTAAGTAAATTAAACTCGAAGTTCACAAGCAGTGGAATAAGCCTGAAAAGGGTGTTTTTGCGCTTCGTAAATGTGTGAAACGTTCTCTAACAAAGTGACATTTAATAAACATCAGTTACTCATTACAGTCTGACTCGAGATTACGTTCCAAGACATCGGGAAGCGTTGCTGTCCGTCGCCTTGAAGGATATTGATGAAAATGGCTGACGAAAGACACAACCATTACTGAAATCCTTCCAGCTCGAATAGCATATTCTCCAGATGCTCCTGGCTGAAATTAAATACAAAGCAAATATTTGCTCTATAATAATACAGCCACGCAGTCAAGGCTCTATTTCGTTAGCGTTTTATACAAAATAAATGGTGTAAAGTATTCCTTCTTTTAATGAGTAGCAGACTACAACAAGCAATGGCCTCAACAAACTCTCTCCTAAATTACCTACAAAAATGAAACTAAAATTAAGATAAATCGCAAACTCATTATGATAATGAAACAGAAACCTAAACTCAGCAATGTTAAATCTTAAACCCAGAACAGGTTGTTGAAATACAGATACAATAATCCTTGAACTATTGTATTTTCAGAAAACATGTCTAATAACGGAAATGGGTCAACAAGAAACTTGCCTTCAACGTTTTTGAGTATTTGTATTGTACCTTTTTTTTCATCCATTCGTCAAGTTTTATTCAAAATGAAACTGCTACTTGAGGACGCTTATCTCCGCGCACAGATGGTTGGTGCATAGCACGCGAAGAAATTTAAAATAGCCATTAGTCCTGCTTGATTTAATTACTGTTCTCTTTTGTTCCCTCTTTACTTTTCACCAAATTAATTCTTTACGATTTAGGAGCATGTTTGAAGTAAGTTTAAAACGAATTTCTTACCTCTTCAGTTTCCAAAAACCGAACGTTTCCATTTATACAGTTTTGAGTTTGCGTAGGTAGCAGTTTACTTATAACAACCCCCAATAACTATGCTCCAAAAGCAATTACGTATTAATTTACCTTCACTAACCGAATAATATACGATATGTATGTATAGACATCGTAATAACTACGATGCCGTGGCTCCATATTAGTTATCAAGGCAAGTATGTAAGTACTACATAAGTAGTTTTGGATTATATCACAGTAATAACGACTAACACAGCTTCAATAAATGAAGAAAAAGAAAAGTTGTAATATTGGTACTTCTTAGTAATGTAGAAAACATGATCACAACAAGTATACTACGAATATTTCTGCCTTCAGTGATCTCAAATATAAAAGTTTATCATTAATAAAAGATCTTGAATTAAAAGTTAGAGTATAAAAGTTAGGTAA